AACAGTAATGTTTGGGTGTCGAGACTCGTTTAATATTCTCAGGCAATCGGCTTCTCTGATTAGCCTCTCTCTAGCGTTGGTAGAGGGACTGTCCTCCAGAAGGTGCTGCTTCTTGACAAACAGGACTTTCACGGCCACTTTCTTTCTTTGGAACATCCCATGCTTGACAAAGCAACCCGAGCTTTGGCTTACTATTGTTTGGTTGATTTCCAGTGTCGGTGTCCTGTACGTGGAGGACAGGTGTTTGATGTGAAGGTCTTCGGGAAGGTCGTGCTGCAAATTTTGGTTTTTGGATACACAATGAACCAAAAACGTCCTTATTTCTTTATCAGGACAGAGAAGCACTTCTGAAGATCGCCGCTGAAGAAATGCACGACATTCCGGCCTTCTCTGCACTTTTGTATCTTTAAGGAGATTCACTAAGCATCCACCTGCTTCCGTCCTCATTTCTGTATCGTAGCAGGAAAAGCGAAATACACATGAAAAGTCACAAAGGCTCATGACACCGCTAAGATGATTTTTGACTTATGATTTTAGCAGAAAATTGTATAAGCTCGTGAAATGAATTACACTGAAAGAAACCAATGTGTTCTAATTTCTATTCCAAACATACACCACGTACCCATTTTGTTTTTTTAAAACACATGGGGTGACATGTCTGAGATCATGCTTTCTATTCTTGTTGTACGAACTACTTGAGTTCAACTGGAAGCTTCTGTCTCTAATTCAGTTCAACAGCCCTTGATTTTATAAATTTAGGAAAGTTCTATTTTTAAGGCTCGGCCCACCTTTCGTTGCGTTGTTCATCGCAATATCTGATAAAATCGATGCTGCTAACAAACAAAACCTCCAGTCATCTCCACCACCTCTCTTTAAATACGTTTCCACGAGAAGTCTGAAAAGTTTCATGGCCCGTCTCTCAGTCTCCATTTGTGGAACAGGACGCTCACAGTATACCTGACAGGAGCATGCATTTAATCAAATATCGGTCGGTAAATGAGCTCATTACTTAATTGGTGCTCCTCTTTACTTTTGTTTCCGTCAGAAACAAGCAATGAATGGTAGCTGAAAGGGCAGCTCGATGCAGCTGAGTTTTAAGTTGATGCCAAGGAAAAAACTAAAGGGCTTTGCGTTGATTGAAAGGCAAACTTGTCCAAATACATCTAACTTTTAATTGTAGGGATATGAATGTTCCTGGGCCTGTAATTTCTGAAAGTACCCGAAACAGCAGCCTCTTCGTTTAATTCTAATAACTTTTAAAAGATTCCGAGAAAATTGGATATCGGAAGTTTGGAGCCAATTGGGAAGGTGACGACGATGTCTACTCATCAACACAGCATTTGTACTGCAACGGAATTTGCGCCAACGTTAGATGGTTTTAGGCAAACCAATGCGGGCGTTGATCAGATTTTTATCCAAAAACACTCGCACTGGTTTGAATTGTTGAAGGCTCTCTAGACTAGTCAAAAAAATTACAAAGTCAAAAATCAAAGACTTACCTTCCCATGAAGATAAATCAAGATACAGTGCAGATCAATCCACTTGCCATTCTTCTTGAGCCCTTGAAGAACCTTTAAATCGCCACTGGTGATTTTCTGGTTTGAGCAAAACTCTTGGCACTCGTCTAGCAGCACTTTCAACTTATCTTGAGGTTTCAACAGACACGGAATTGCCTCCTGGATGAACTCTATCGAATATCGGAAATCATCCTTCTTTTTGTTGTTTAGCTGATCGCCAAACTGTTTCAGCTCTTTCTGTAGCTTTTTAAGATCTTGCTCCAGGGTGTCGATACGCAAATCCCCTTTCCGAACTTGCTGTATCACTAGCGAGGACAAAATACGGCTGTATACATAAAGTTTGAGTTCTCGTTCTGAATGTCGGTCGGTTTTGAACAGTCCTTCGGGCGAGAGAAAAGATGACCTTATAACGACTTCCACAACCAGCACGTTCTCGTAGCAGCTATCAAAGTTGTCCTTGCAGATCAAATGAAGAAGCAGCTGAAGAGCTTGCCTCACGACTTTGGCGCTCTTTCTGCTGCAAGATATTCTGGATAAGATCTCGTAGATTTTCTCATTGGAAGAGGGGCATTTACCCCACGATTCTTCTAGATGCGGTAGAATTTCATGGAGTATGAAATCTTCTTTTTCCTCTTGAAGTGAACCTGCGTTGTTGTCCATGTCACAAATGAATTTCACTGGGTTTTCGAGAAATTCTTCAATCGACCATTTAAACGTGGCGTCTCCTGAAATTGTTGTCAACAAAAAAAAATAATCATAGATTGAAACTGTAATTGGAGTGTATATAAGATACATAAATGCTACGTGACTCGTAAGAGAGAAGAGTCTGGATGCGCAAACTGACTTATATTATTTCCATGATGGAATGTGATGTTAAAATTAGATCTATAAATCAGAAACAAGTATTTGGTATTTAATTGTATATCTATTTTAGCTAAAAGAGGGGCACCGTGGGAATCATGAATACATCTAAGTTCAGGGTTTATCTTTTAACAGCCATGTAATTGACGAACAACAAAGTCGACAAGTAGCTCAAAAATTGACTGACAAATGGAAAATGCACTCTCCCACCCCCGAGACCCTCTTAAAGAGGCTGGACGGTATTATTTTCATCGGCTGCCTTCGTACAAAGTCGACTGTTTGCCGAGTATCAATGCAGTCTTATTTGAAAAGTCAACGATCAAAAATTCCTCCGCGCTTTACGATAAAAACGTTGAAAACGTTTAAGTTAGCGGATTAAATCCCGGTGGGTAAGCTACGGAGCACTACTTTCGTTTGGTTCTGCTTATTGTGCTGTAAAACGTGGCTGCAACATTTTGGTCAGTTGATGAAACCCCTAATTGGTGTAACCATTCGGATGACACTGAGACGGTTTTAACAACTTTCATCTGACAGTATTTTAATGGACTTCAGATTAGTTTATGACTTACCTTTCCCGTAAAGAATGACTTTACTCGGCTTTGCATTCCACTTTTGTGCTTTCTTTCCATCTCGCTGTTCACGGTTAATCAGGTAGTAGGAGCCTGGACAATTCTCACCGACTTCAATTATAGTTTCCTCCGATGTTCCGCGACCATTTTCTGGGTTGACCTCTTTCGATGGGGAGTTGTCAAGAGGCTGTATTGTGCTTGTACCGGGCTGGTCAAGATTTTCGTCACCTGAATAATGGGAAGCATAAAGTCAATATTTATAAACTGTTGATTTTTGTTTATCGTTACTTGAGGTCTTACTTCGTTAATTAACATGTGTTGTTAAACACCAAATGTATGAACTGGCCTTATGTGTATACTCAACTAAAATACTTAGCGATTATGGCCATGTATGGAGTTAGTGAGAAACAAACTATTTGACCTTGCATGTACAACGGTATGCTATCTCAGCGTTTACTACATCACACTTATACCTGTTGAATGACTAAGGGGAGTACCCTTGATGACTGCTCTTTCCTTGCCAACAGCAACTAAACCACTGCATTCTACAACGTTGACAGTGCTGTACGTCTTGTTAACGACACGTGTACGTCTTCCACGGCTTCCTGGATGTACATCTGGAATATGAAATTAAAAAAAAATAGCTGGCTGTACTGGTTGGTAAAGACCGCTCATTCCCAAAGTAACAAGGGCCATTGCTTTCGGAAATTTTCGCTATTGCATGGACTCATATCAAACTTACTCACCCGAAATCTCCGAGGAAACATCGGAACTTGAGTCATCAGAACTTGAACCTAAAGAGAGAATTAATAGTCCAGCTGTTAAGGGACAAAATTGTTCGTTTTTTGATAAAAGCATCAAACTTGGCAGGGTTACTAACCTCTATAAGACAAATATTTCTTGATATGGAGCCATGCCAAATTTTCTTCCAGAACTATG